TCTAACCCAGACGTGGCTTCGGCTTGGAGACGCTTCTCCCGCTCGGCCCCCGCCCCCGCCTGCTCTCCTCCATTTCCCTCCGTTTCTTAATCAAGCCCCGGGTTTGATTTGCCGGCGGCTGACCCAGGCCAGGCGAGAGAGGTAGTCCGCGAGATCCTAAGAAGTCACTTGATTTGTTTTCTGCAAGCAAATGGAGCCGAGGCGCGCGCACCCCCCTTCCCAAAAGTGGGCTTGTAATTTGCAAGGAATTAAAATTGATTCTTTTCATCAGGCAAAGAAAATAGGAAAATGTGAGATCGTTAATTATGGAGGGAGACGCTTTCTCATTAGAGGCAGCGATGTTACCATTCAGCATTTAAATAGCGGCAATGTGAATAATAATTATCATAACGTGTCATATTTCAGCCCTGAAAAGACACACTTGCTCCCCCAACCCCCGAAAACACGCGCGCGCACCAAATTGCATCCTCCAAAATTAAAGAAAACAAAACAGTCGGCTAAAAGGGGGGGAAATACGCCCCCTAAATCCTAAACGAATTTATTTCGAAGGGGAACTTCTTTCCACCCTAATGATGCAGAGCAAGGCAAGGAACTCCTGTGTGGGAAAGAACTTCCGCTGACCAGCCTGTTTTTGAATAGAAGTGATAACCAGCTATAAAGGGGGGGGGGATCAAGAAAGGCAAAGGAGGGGGGCAGCTTCTGTTAAGTGTGCAAAGCAATTAGGAAGCCAGGCAGAGTCGTTTCCTGGGTGTCTGCCGCTGTGCCAAAGGCGCCTCGAAGATGCAAATAAACAAGTGGACACCCCCCCCTGCATTCCAGCCCGTGCTCCCCCGCCTTATTTGAGTCCTTTGGAAATCAGTGGTGGGATCGAGGCCTTAAGGGGGCAAGGACAATAACCCCAGATCTGGGTCAAAATGGTGCATGTGTGTGAAACCCATCCTCTTTCTGTTGCAGCCGCGTCTGAGGAGCCCCTGAATGTGGCACTTCCAGAGTCCCCTCCCCAACCCTCCTCTTCCTCCAGGCCGCAGTTGACGGCGGCGCCTCTCTATCTGCGATGTCTATTTCTGTTTCCCCACCCCTGCCAACCCCCAAAGCGGCCCTCGGCCTCCCCTCTCCGCCTCCAGCTGTGTCTGGACATGCCCCCCTCCCTCTCCACGGCTTGGCCGACTGGAAGCAGCGGCGGCAGCAGGCGGCGCGCAGGGGGGAGAGGAGGAGGAGGAGGACACCCCAAAGCGGGGATGATTTCCCGGCGCCCAGCCCTTTTGGCAGGGGCACTCTTGTACAAAATTCAATCTCTCTTTTTTATGAGGAGTAAACCGCCTAAATAAATTTTATTAGGGGCAAGCAATATGTTCCCTGGTCGTTCCCTTTGTTCCAGTCCTACGTGTGTGTAACAATCTAAAACCTATTTATGGAGGGAAAATCGCCGGATCCGTCATAGAAAATCCTTTTACTTGGCTCTGAAGTGATTTTCTGAAGAACACTCCTGTCATGGTGGAGATTTTGGGGGCCATTGTGCTAAGCCGTGCCTTGTTAGGGACTTCACTTTGCCTGATCAGGTGGGAAATACCTTCCATTATCCAAGGAATGGGCCTGACTGGCACTTTTCTGGCTTCCTGGGGGGGGGGGTGAGGAAGTAGAGAAGAGGGAGGGAGGTGGGCGGTGGGGGAAAGATGACGAGGGGCTGGGAGATCTTTGTAAATACATCTCCGGCTCAGCCCAGGTGGAATCCAATTCTCCTCCAATACTCTTGGATCCAAGAGGCGGAGGAGATGAAACGTGTGTGTGTGGGCGCGCGTGTTTTACATAGAGAAAAATCAAGAATATTTTCACTCTGACAAGCGTCTAGTCCCGGTTTCCCCCTCCCCTCCTCCTCCTCCCTCCCGATTTCCATTCTTTTCTTCCCTTTTCTCCCTCTCACAGCCTCCTTCTCTCTCCCCTCCTCCCCTCCCATGAAGCCCCCCGCAAGCCCATCGCGCTTTGAAGCCTCGGAAGGAATGATTTAGTTTGTTTATCCTGCTATAAAAATCAAGAGCAATAGAAAAGTCATAAAAGGGAGCGCGCCATCCATCACGCCGCAGCCTTGTTTTCCCGCGGTTCCTAAGCGAGATGGATAAGCCGCGGGTCCCAGCCCCTTGTTAAGCGCGATGATGGGGCTGCCCATTAACTATTACGCCCTTTATTTATCGACTTGAAAGGCGCACGCCGAGCCAGCCGAGCTCAGGATCTGGTGGAAGTTGGCAGATTTGGGGGGGGGACTGAGGGGCAGAGAGATATGGAGCACCCCCACTTCCCAAAAAGGCAAGGAAGGGAAGCCACCCTTGGAAATGTGCTAGGCCACTAGAAACAGGACGAGGCGAGGCAAGAGGGCACTGCGGGGTGTGTGGGTGTGTCTGGGATCAGCTGGGAATAGTCTTGGGGAGAGAGAGAGAGAAAGAGAGGGAGAGAATTGGGCAAAACTATTCCGGCTCATGAGATGCGCTGTCCAAAAGGTGGGGTGTGTGCCGCCCAGCAAGACTGAGACTCCCGGGGGTTAGCTGCCCAAAGTGGCCACCTGCCCTTTCCACTAGGCAGGCAGGCAGGCCACTCGGTGGGGGTAGAGGGGGTAGCGAGCCAAGATCATCGGCTGCCCCTTCCACAACCCTCCTGCAGGCTTACTCCCGCATCCCTTGTAAAGTGGGCATCGCGGGGAGCTTGGTCTGCTTCTTTTGTCTTTTCCGGCTGGTGATGGTTAGCTACTTTTGGGAGACTGGAGCAGCAGGGCCTTCTCTCCCCCCCCCTCCCGCGCCCACCCCTTTGCTCTCGGGCTGGGCTTGCTGCTTCCAAGTCTTCCAAACAGGGCCGAGAGGCGGGCAGCCCTTCACGCTCTCCAGCCTGACAGCGACCCCTTGAATAGGATCATCGACGGGCTCGCCAGGCGCTCAACTGCCCCACAGCTCGCTCGGCCGCCTCCTTTGTCTCCCCTTTTCAGTGCCAGCCCGAAACCCACTACCCCTGCGTTGCCAGCAGGAAAGGAAAAGCGGGGAGGGAGGGTTAAGAAACCCCAAACACAAAGGCCGAGCAATGTGTTGTGGGTGTCCGTCGGGCGGCGAAGCAGCAGCAGCAGCACCAACAATAATCAAAAAAGCCATTCGCCCGGTTATTACTGAGCAGAGAGAATCTCCCAGGTGAATTCCCCACCCCCACCCATCTTCGCTTGCTGTGTGTGTGTGTGTGTGTGTGTGTGTGTGTAAGCTTTATTTGCACTACATGAATAATCTTAATTGCATCACTCTCGAATTAAAAATCAATGTTAATCAAGCTGGAAGAAGGAAATATCAGTTTTCATTGTGCCTGGCCTAGATGGCAATTCCAGCCCCCCCCCCCTTTGGAGAATGGGGCGGGGAGAGAGAGAGAAAAAAAGAATCAAATAACTTTAAAAGGCCATTCTGTTCTGCTACAAATACAATTGAAACGGATTGTTTAGGAGCGGATCAGAAACGGTACAGAATTTTGCACTTAATTTCCTCCGTTATCATTTACAATAAGAACCTCTTGCCTTGACAGCCAAGTCTAAACAGTAGTAAATTAGTACAAATTTATACTGATTTTACTCTAATAATCGTAATAAAAGCTTATAGATTTGGCACTAATTACATAAATGCCTAATGATCTTGAAAATTACTCTGGTTAGAAATATATTACTAATCTAAACTTTGTTGTTGGCTGGCTTTGAAAAATCAGAACATTAGAAATGGTTCGCTTCCCTTGTGCGAAGCACTTGAAATTGTTGGGATAGTTTAACATATTCAAGAGGAAAATAATGTTTTGTTTTGTTTCTTTTTGAAAAAAAAGCATTCAGCTTTATTTACTGTCTTAAACTGAGTTTGGAGACAAGCTGAACTTAGAAACTTTCTCACACGCCCAGGTGAATGAAGGAGGCGCCTGGAGGCGCTGCCTTCTCCTTAAACCAAGACAACTGCTGGAATTATTCCTGTTTTATACAAATATGTAATTCAGTGGATTGAGATCCTTGTGGGGATTTGGGGGGCGGGCGGGGAGGAGGAGGGATGAGGAGGAAAGACTGCTGCAAAGATCCATGTTACTACAGACGTTTCATTAGGGTCACACTCAGCTTTCCTCTCTGCTGCGTTTTCCAACCATCCCATATTAGTGGCTGCACTTAAGTTTATACCCCACATTAGAAATCCTTAAATAAAGCCATCCAACACAATTTATCCCCAGAACAGATACACCTCCGCCACTCCACAGCTGTGCAGAATCTCTGTGTCCTCTTTCCTCGCTCTTTCCCTCCCGCAAACCCCAAAGCGACGGCAAAAGAACAGCAACTACACACCACAACGAAGACATTAAAAAGTGTCTGTGAGTGTAAGACGGTGCTGACGATGGGGGAAAGGAACAGCACAACATACCAGCCATTCACTTCTGCCCCCCCCCCCCAGCCACCTATATTCCTCTTTTTATTGGGTTGGCTTTGTCAGTCATTTTCAACTAATTTGATCAGGAGGTCACTTTTGTTAAAAAAAGAAAGAAAGAAAAAATAAGAGGGGGCGGGGGAGGCTGCCTCTCCGGCAATTCATCAGCGCGGGGCGGGAGAGAAGGCGAATGGCGACGGGGGCTTTAAAAGCCCAGCCCGCGCGGCTCGGCGCTGCTGCTGCTGCTGCGGCTGGTGGTGCTGAGGCTGCGGGCGGGTGGAGCGGGGACTCTTTGGGTGCTGACATTTGCAGGCTGCCCTCCTGATTGGTCCCTTCGCTGAGCTGCTCACGGGTTCACTGAAGTGTTAAGCACCTCCCCGTCTCTCTAAAGGACATTATAATGCAAGAGACCCCCTTTTTAACCACACACCGAATTTTCTTTCATTTAGGCGATCTATATATAAATATATATCTATAAGCTTGAGAGAGAGCGAGATCCGGTGCAACTTTTTTTTTCCATAAAAAACCCCACCACCAACCGCTAAAATTTGGGGGGGTACAGCTTTCGCCCTGGAGCGGTGCGCGATGCTCTCTCACGCCGACCTCCTGGACGCCCGGCTCGGTGAGTTGCCCCCCAAAGCCTCTCTTCCCCCCCTCTTTCCTCCCTCTCCCTCGCCCCCAGCAGCACCTGCAGCCAAGGAAGAAGCCCCGGGCAGGAAATGGACAATTTGTGCCTGATTTTACCTTAATGCGACTAATTTCTTTAAAAGTAATTGTACTGTATTAAAGTTTGATTTGATTTAACGCCATCTTAAAAACAACAACAAACCACCTATGGAATATGTAGATCCAAAAGCAGCAGTAGCGGAACTGGGGGGCCATTTCGTTTTAGGTTGTGGCCCCTCTCCCTCTCCTTTGTCTTCTTCCTGTTTTGTTTTTTATTTTATTTAAGTCTCTCTTTTTTTGTTCTTTTGAAATAATCCTGCATGTGTGTATCTAGTTTGCCTACCCTTAAGAAATAAATTGAGGCGCCCTTGGCTTTGGACAGGTGGATGTTCGGGAGCGTCTCCCGGCGAAGGCGCAAGGCGGCCCCCTCGGGCGAGGAGAGGGTGGCTGGGGGCCGTCCGGGGGCGACTATCCAAGCGGGATGGCTCCCAAGTTCTTGGGGGGTGGGAAGGAGGCAGGGTGGGCCGGCCCGGTTCCTCCCCGTCGGGGGCCGGGTTGGCCTAGGGCGCTGGTGGACACCGTCCGGGCCCGCCGGCCGGGGGTGGACCGTGGTGTGCGCCTGGCTGAATCGCGGCGGGCCGCTGCTTTGCCTCCGCAGGGATGAAAGACGCCGCCGAGCTGCTGGGCCACCGGGAGGCGGTGAAGTGCCGCTTGGGCGTCGGAGGCTCGGAACCCGGAGGCCACCCGGGCGACCTGGCTGCCAGCGCGGACTCGGTGGAAGGCTCCACGCTGCTGCCCGGCGACGACATCTCCGCCGTGGGCTCCACGCCCGGCGCGCTCTCGGTCGGCGCCAAGGACCCGGACAAGCAGCAGGGTCAGCCCGGCGGCGGCGGAGGCGGCGGAGGCGGCCAGAACCCCGGCCAGGCCGGCCAGCAGCAGGGCCAGCAGAAGCAGAAGCGGCACCGGACGCGCTTCACGCCCGCGCAGCTCAACGAGCTGGAGAGGAGCTTCGCCAAGACGCACTACCCGGACATCTTCATGCGCGAGGAGCTGGCCCTGCGCATCGGCCTCACCGAGTCCCGGGTCCAGGTAGGCGCTCGCCGTCTGTCCATCCACCGAGCGGCCAAGCCACCCACCTTCCTCCACTCTCCGACCCTCCATCGCCCACCCCGTCCAGGGACAGGGGGGGCCTTCCAGGCCAGGGGGCGCCCCCGTCCCCAGACCCAAAAGGAGGGTGGCGGGACTTAAACGTTACTACCCCGCGTTGGTTAATTAGGGTCATAGAGCTCCCTTGATTAGGGACCCGAGGGCTAGCTAATCAAATTCCTCAAGGAAAGGATTTTCAATCACGCAAGGGGGGCGGGAGTTCGAACTTGTGGTTTTCGTTTTGTTTTAAAGTTGTCTCAAAAGTGAGAAAGGGCTGCTGTTGTTTCTCCAATCCAGAGACGCGAATGCAGCAGTTTCATAAAACGGCACCAACTAAAAGCAATGCTTTCGATGCCCCAAAGCGAAGCCTTCCCATTAAAAAAATAAAATAAAATAAATATCCTGCCCTCCGCTCCATCACAGCACTGAACAGCACAGACGCTGCGTTACAAAACTTAGTTTATTTGAAGCGGCCTGGGAATTTCGCTGTTGTACATTCAGTGAACGCTACAACGCTTCGAGATCGATTTCTAAGGCAACAGACTGGCACTCCGATCCCAAACACATTGCTCGATTTCACTACTAAGGAAGGAGTTTGAGGCAGCAGTCTAAGAAATATTTTCAAAGAGCCTTTAAAAACCCAAGGAAGAGAAAGCCTTTGCTAGAAGTTTTAATTTTAATTTTATTAGCGTTTTATGTTAAGGAGTATTAGAAAAACAGCTCTCTGTTTATGAACAAACGCATTGGACGCATTATAGAAAAGATGAAATAATTTAAGAGAAGTATAACAAATCTCTTTTTTGTGGTGAGGTAATATTCAATTTCAGCACACATTTGCCCTACTCTTTAAGAAAACAAATCATTTGTGTGTTATCTTCCTGTTTCGCATACTGGCAGGTTTGAATTTGTTTCAGTCCGATTAGTTAAAATGACTCTGCGCTGTCCTCAGTCCTGAACTTTCCCTTTCCTTGGTTCTTTCTATTTTGATTATTCTGATTGAAATCGCTGACATCCAAAAGGAAAAAGAAATGTATTCTTTTAAAAAATCTTAAAGTGGAACCAAATTTATCTGGAAGCATTTGCATTTTAGATCTTTTTTTAAAGGCACTAATTAAATGCTGCTGACTCCAATACCATCATTTTAGTTTGAGATTATTAGAAGGTTTATGAGGAACTTAATTACAGGGAAATCAATGAGATTTCTCTCTGTATAGAGAGAATAGATGTGTATGTACTTTGTGAGTTGAAATCCTCTCTAATTAATTTAGCCAGAACTATAGAACGCCAAGCAGATAAATACAGAGGAAATCTAGAAACAACACTTTTAAATACCAAGGAGGACTTTTGTGTTTGCGTTCAACAGAGTTTCTGTCACCATATACCTACCTATGAAAAGTGCATTAATATTATCTATTAGATTAGAAAACACTATAATGGGGAGTCTTCCAGAAAAATTGTTACGCATGCCCAAACCAAACCAATTTAAAAACAGTAACACCAATGCTAAAACCAGAAAGCTACCGCAATTCTTCTCTGAATATATATATAAGTTATACAGATTTATTCAACCAGTATAGAACGTTAATTAGTTTAAATTAAAAACGAAATCTGGTTCCAAATAAAATATAATTGGACAACTAACTTGGAAGGAAGAAAGGAAAAGAGCAGGAAGCCTATTAAACTCCACTGGGTTTCTCCAAAGGTTAATAAGCAATTTCATTATCAGGAATGTGATGAACGAAACAAAATGTATAATATAGAATGGAAATAGCGATTATTCACCCGCTTCCTCTCCCCAGTGGTGGAAATCCGTAGAACTAAATGATAATGGGATCCTGGCCGTACAACGATTTACAGATAGTAAACGAAATTACGGAGAATGAACAGATGCATACGATCTTATTTTGGGTTAATTAATTAATACAGAATAATTACCTCGCTTCATTTACAATTGCTAACGCAAAATAAAACCCTCCACTTCAACATGAACAAGTGCTTTTCAAAGACCCCAGTCGCGGTTAAAACAGGGATAAGGATTGTTATTCCATTTTAAATCATATTGTTTCTTGCCTTTCCTTCGAAGGTAAGCGCGCGTCAGATGGCGACCCGAGGTCGCTTACAGCCTGAAACTAACCATATTTTTACCCCCGTGGTTTTCCAGCCTTACTTGTAAATAAGTCGCGTTCACCTCAGTAGGACTCACCTCCAAGTGAAATGGGGGGGGGGGGGGAGGATTTTAATGACCTTAGCATAATCCTACACGCTGCTAATAGCTACGGGCGGCTGAATAGAAACAATTTAATCGAGTGGCAATTTAAATATTCTTTACAATAATGTTCTGCAGTTTAAAAAGTAATCAAATCAACATAACCTTCTTAATTAACACTTCAGAATGATTAACATTGTGTAAGCTTGTGCAAAAATAAATTATGGGAAATGTATTTACTTCCCAGTTCATTGTATTCTTGCTACTTGACCAAATGGAAATGAAAGAGTAATGGATGGGTTTATGGTCTCGTTTACACAGCCTTTGCGGCGCATAGGGGGCTCCACATTGATCCGGGAATGCTCCACGCGCCCGCCTTTCGAGCTGCTCTCTATGCACCATTATATGCAAGAATAAATTATATTTTTTCTCACTTTCCTGTCTTCTACATTTTAAAAACCTACCCCTGCTTTGTCGAAAAGGCCTATCCCACGCCTAAGCTACCACTTTGCGCTCGCTCTCTCTCTCCCCCCCGCCTCTTTCCAGACCGGGTGTAATAAAACCATTCTTTTTATAGCATGCCATTATTAGAAACCAATTTCAGAATTATTTATAACCTGGAATGGCTTATTAAGCAGCAATGCGAGAATCATGCAAATGACAGCGATCCAATGCAATATAATAAGCATAATCATTAGTCTCTCGCTCTGATTAATTAACTTTCAATATTTTATTTACATAAAAAGCAAATCAGTGAAATAACTTCTGCACAGCCAGGCTTGCCTTTCAATATTTTACACCAACCTAAAAATAATGTGCTGAGACTCCATTGACCGTGTCCCCCCCGCGCTGGCCGTGTCACCTGCCACATCTTAATAGGGGACAAGCTGAGAGTATTTTCTAGTTTTCTAATGGAATGAGAAATTGCATTTTCTTCCTCTCCCAGTAACTATTAAAGCGTAATGAATTCGGCCTAGAGTTCACGGCTGGCTGATCGAAATGAACCTGAAATCTGAGCTTTAATGCAGCTCCCCAGATTTCCTACCAAATCTTCGCATTAATCATCCGCTGGATTCCAATGAGATCTTCATAAAGCTTTGTGAAAGGAGGGGGTTGGGGTGGGGAGAGAAAGGAAAGTAATATCCTCTCCCCTTTTTTCTTCCCCATTTATAGCTGGGGAATTAAACGGGCTATATATTTCCAAATACATTTACAGTATGTCTATATTACTGTAGCAGCAGGTATCATGAAAGTAGAGTTTGAAATTGCAAACTCCATTAGACCCTCAGTGTTGTATTAATAATGTTGGGCGGTGGGGAAGCAGAGGGGGAGTCGCTGCGTTTTCTGATCGCAGCCGAAGTTGCCCAAATGCCTGTGGCTAATATATTTCCAGCTCCGAGTTGTCATGTGCGCCTTTTCAAAACCTCCCTCAGGTTCTCTCTCCCTTTTAATCTGTCATGCACCGGTTTCCAAGTGGATACGTTCACATTTTCAAAAGCATATGCGCCGTCGCTCTGAAGTGAGGCGATGACGACCTGATGGAGATTCTTTTACAACCCCAGTAAACCATGACACATAAAAAGATTTTGTGGCCACCATTTAACTATTAACCCTAAAACATAATTGAACACGACTTCTCTCCGTCTCTCTCTCCCCCTCTCATCTTTTTCTTCCTGCCTTCCTTCCTATTATTATTCCTATAACATTTAAGTCCTTAACAGCTGTTCCTTCTTGCTAATGGCCAATCGCATTTCCCTGTATAAATTGAAGGGTTTGAAAGAATGCGGCGGTGCTCCGGAGCCTCTCAAATCCGTAGGCTTGTAGACTGTCCCTAAAGCAGAGTGAGTAGGCACAAGAGCTCGGAGCGGCCCCATTCCAGAGTGGCGTGGCAACCCAGTGCGCCCACCGCCCGCAAATAAGACAAGGATCTTTGTTACTAAAGCGCACACGGACGGTTCTTAAAACAAAAGGTTGGAGTGGGACAATAAATACTAAAATCGATTTGGAATTGTTACGGAAATTCCCGGTTCCAAGGCTGGAGTTTGCTTCCCTGATTAAAAAAGCACAGCAACCAAGTGGGGTGTACACCATGTACCCAGATTTGACTCTGGATAGGGCCCAGCCCAGATACGCATCTCCATTCTGCCCCCTTTTGCGCTGCAAAAGTTCCTGCCCTTTTACGAATCTTTTTTACGCATCAACTTGTGGCGGCGGCAGCGCTGTGGCCGGGGTAAAACAGCCAGAGCAGGGTAAGACAGTGCAAAGAGAGAAAGGGGTCGAGGCAGAAGAAGGCAATAAAGAACAGGCCAGATGTAGGCGGGGAGAGAGCTGGGGAGAACCACCAAGCTAAAGAATATTCCCACAGAGAAATAAATGAATACCAGGCCAAGTCACTTATTAAGAACCCGTAATATTTACATATACAGTACATGCAAAATTGTGTATATTCGCGTGACATATACGTTCATTTAATTAACTCAACTGGAGTAAAACCAAAAATACCAACATTGTCTCATGATAGTTGCACCGCGCGATCCTAAACATGTTTACTCGAAAGTAAGCCTCACTGAGTTCAATGGAGGTATTCTAAGGCTAGAAGGGGAGTGTGCGCCATTCAGTTCAGTGGGGGGGGGGTACATCAGAGGAAACATGCATAGGATCGCGGTGCCCGCCTCAGTTTGCTTTTCTATCCAGCCAAGTCCCGCTTGCTCATATTCAAAAGCCTACTTATAGTGCAATACTAAGGATGTTTTTCAGAAGTTGAGTCCCACTAATTTCTGAAAGTCTGATACCAGGTCAAGTATGCTTAGCGTTCGAGTCTTGTTTATTTATGCTTAGTATTTAGACACTTGGGAAAGGCCTAATTTTTTTTTTAAAGCCGAGTTGAATGGCTCAGTAGAAAATGAAAAGCTGCTGACACAGACGACTTCAACGTTTGGTGGAGCTGACAGAAGCTCGGTTGATTAACTAAGGCATCAGAATGAATATCTAAAGCAAAATGCTCCACAATTATTGCAATGGCAGCTCACTTGAAGTAATGATTTAATGCATCTTTGTTGCATCTCCTTAATGAGGTACTTGAGCTTCACCACAAGTCAACTGCAAAACAAAAACTTTAATATATATATTTAAAACTCAGCTTCTCAGTAAGCAGCAATCTTTTCCAAGTAGCCACTAATCTGGCTTTGTTTCCAATTACATTATATAAATTATTTTTTGGGGGGGAAAGTTTCCCTTATGTCTTATTTACATTTACAATATGAATATTCCTCATGCCTTGAAGTAGGAAGAAAAACATATGAAAACACCAATTATTTCACTGGGAAGTATGGCATATTCAGTGCTTTCAACTTCTGGTACTCAGGTAGTAGGAATAACTCCTATTGGAAACCACTGCTAAGCACTAAAATAAAAATAAAAATGTGTATGGGACCTCTACACATCTATCTGCAATGTATATTCAGAGTGTTCCACATATCTGTAACAAAACACACTTATTTGTTTGATCCCAGTAGAGAGATCAATACACAGCTTTCTCCTGTTCATCCATATTCCCTTGCTGATCTAGGCTCACATATGCAACAGATGCTATGTGTATGGATCCTGTGGCTGGATGCTTTAGGGCAGCATCAGTGGTTGCATGTGTGATTCCCAGCCATGGGTACCAAATGCATAACCAGCATAGATAAAATACGGATGCCAATTGTAGATGAGTATGCATCTTCCATATTGTCTGTTGATGTACTCAAATCAGGATACAAAATATACACATATCTAGCCTCACATAAACACACACACATACATGCATATGGGTAGCTAAAAATGTACTTCTATATTCAAAAGTCCTTGTAAAGATGGGCAAAGAATGCAGTCCGTATTCTAATTTATATATTTGCTCTAAGCATATGGAACTAATGTAAATAAGGGGTGGATACTTTTAAAACTATTATAAGAAACACAATCTTCTGGTGCATTAAATGAACATGCCTACAGATGAATCTCTTGCTCATAAATATTTTATAGCTTATATTAACGTACTTATCTTGATTATATTTCTTGCGTATCCTTCATAAGATACCCCATTAGATTATTTAAAAGTGTAGATCTAGTGAACTCAAGTGGTTAGTGAAGAACTTTTCTACAATCTCAGTCAGAAACCAATTTAACCTGAACTTAAGTTAAATCACTGAAACTAAAGAGCCCACATGGCTTGTGAATTCAGCTACAGTACTACTGAACACCTCGTTTAAATGTGAGGAATGGAACTTATGTGTAAGTCTGAAGGTAAATGTGCATATTTGAGAAAAAACACAATGACACCATTCTCTAAATATGTTTTCTTTGAAATATTTCACCAATGATTTCGGTGCAAATCTCAAGAGTGCTTAGGATGAGGTACTATTAGAACCATGAAAGTTATGTCATTCACATTGTCTTAAACACAAGTTTTGCACAACTTGTTTATGCATCAGCGTATTAATTAGACTGCTAGCTCCAGAAGTAAGAGGTACGATTGTAGCTTTATTTTTTTCTTTTGTGCCTATGCTCACATAGTAGGCCTCCCAAACTAGATATGAGTCTAGATGCTTAAGAAAGATTATTATAAAATCTAAACATTATTACAAAAATAGTAACAGCTGTAGCAAACTCACAATAGTAAAATAACAGATTATTGGTACCAGAGTAACAACTTTATTTTCTACTGTTTTCCCTAGGTTCTATCAGGGGAAAAGGCAGGGTATAAATAAATAAATAAATAAATAAATAAATAAAAATACTATTCCAAAGGGCTAAAATCTAAGGATTGTAAATACAGTATGCCAGCTCTTTTATTTTTATCCCTCAAGCCATCTGTGTCCAGAGTGGGGAAATGTTCCTCCTCCTCCTCCTCCACCACCACCTTTAAAAGAGTATTCTCCCTTTTGTCCCCTATGGAAATAGAATAGTTGCCCTTATTTTCTCCCTTCACTTATGCTCCCTTATTAGTCAATGGAACATTATGGGTCGGTTTCGGAGGAACCGTGGCGAGGCTGAAGGAAACAAGGCAGCGAAAGTCCTTTGCGTTAGGAGCAATGATAAAATACCAGTGCGTAAAAACCCATATTTTAGCCGGACAGCAGGACAGACACCAGACGTCTGTATCCACACACAGACGCCTTCTTTTCCCCCTCCTGACAACTCCATCTTCACCTTTAGGGCTTCAACCCAGAGGCGTGGGCCCTCAGAGAGGCGGGTGGCGGAGGGACGCGGGGCCTGTTCAAGCGCTTTGCCCGGAGTGCCACGCTAACCGGCCTCTCTTTTCTCTGTCCTTCCCCCCACTTGTCCTTTCCCTCCCCGCCGGCGACGACGGGCGGCCAGGTGTGGTTCCAGAACCGGCGGGCCAAGTGGAAGAAGCGCAAGAAGACGACCAACGTGTTCCGCGCCCCCGGCACGCTGCTCCCCACGCCGGGCCTGCCCCAGTTCCCCTCCGCCGCCGCTGCCGCCGCCGCCGCCATGGGCGACAGCCTCTGCTCTTTCCACGCCAACGACACGCGCTGGGCCGCGGCAGGCATGCCGGGCGTGTCGCAGCTGCCCCTGCCGCCGGCGCTGGGCCGGCAGCAGGCCATGGCGCAGTCGCTGTCGCAGTGCAGCCTGGCGGCGGGGCCCCCGCCCAACTCCATGGGCTTGTCCAACAGCCTGGCGGGCTCCAACGGCGCCGGCCTGCAGTCGCACCTCTACCAGCCCGCCTTCCCCGGGATGGTCCCCGCCTCCCTGCCCGGCCCCAGCAACGTGACGGGCTCGCCGCAGCTCTGCAGCTCCCCGGACAGCAGCGACGTGTGGCGGGGAACCAGCATCGCCTCCCTCCGCCGAAAGGCGCTAGAGCACACAGTCTCCATGAGCTTCACCTAATGGCGTCTCCTTCCCGCCTTCCTAGCCAGCCAGCAGCCTGCCCCCAGCCGCGCCTCCCGCTTTCCCGCCCTTTTTGCTTCTTCTAATTCCTCCTCTTCTTCTTCTTCACCTCAGCCCTGCCCTCACTCCCCACTCCCGCCATTTTTTTGTACTTAAAAGAGGGAGGGGGAAACAAAACAAAACACTTACCAGGGAGTCGACTCAGGATCAGAAGTGAGTGGACTGGTTTGCGGGCAGAGTTTAAGAGTGGTGGTCCAAATAACACGACCCAGGCAAGCGCACGCACACATAAAAACATACAGACAAGGAACACGCTCACCCCAACCGCCGCCTACTGTGCTCCAAGGGCGGAAACACAATCGACGTGTGTCTTAATAAGGATTTGAGAGATACTCAACCTGACAAAAGGACTCGTTGGATCTCCTCCTTTAATTTCCTCCCCCCCCCCCCAAGTTCCAAGCCCGCACAGCCAAATTCAGATCCAGGCATCTGTTGGGCTTTTATTTTTTTATACAAAACACCAAAACAAAAACCCACCTCATGTAGAAAGACAGTATACAATGTGTGCATGTGCGTGTACAAATAAAGATGAAAGTTGGTTGCAGGGGTTTTGATAGAAAGGTTTTCTTAACGGGCAAGTTTGGCCCTAGGGTGGCTGCGAGGCAGGAATAGTGGTCAGGATGTGAAGCGTGAAGGGGAAATTGAACCGATTTTGATAAAAGCATTTTTAAGCGAATTTTTTTGGGGGCGGGGGAGGGATTCAAACGATTTTTAAAAAAGAACCCGCTCCAAACACTTCCTATTACTCTTTTTTCTTTTTGTGGGCGTTTTGATTTCTTTGTTTCGGTTATTGCTGTCCCTCCAGTTTCTCTTGTTGCCCTCCCTCTCCGAGCAGCAGGCTGATAGATAGATGCCTGGCGCACGTGGACTTGAGACATCTCCAACCTGGCAAAGACTTTGTACAGATAAAACAATCAGCTATTTTTTTCTCCCTTTCTGCATGTGCTGGTCCAATCCCAGAGAACAGAAGCTATTTCGAAGAATGAACAAACAACGTGAAATAGGATGTTTTGTGTAGATAAAGCATTCTTGTTACATACTGGTCGATTTGTGATATGTTAAAAGAAAAAAGAAAAGAAAAGAAAACTTACTGTCTGTGCTTATTTATTATGGAATTTTGGGTTTCTTAATAAATGTTTGAGGCTACTATAAAGCATATGATTTGACTTTTGCCAACAAGTTTATATATCAAGTTAATGTAAATGGATAAATAAAATCATTTTCAATATGTGATAATGAGAACGATGGTGTGGCTTGAGATAAGAGGTGTTTTAAACAAGAGAAGAAATAAGATACTTGCTACCTTATTTTTAAATTTAGGATCCAGCGAGGTGGGGGGGGGAGGGTTGTCATACATTTGGAAATAGTTTGCTTGCTTGAACTTTGCGATGAAGCACTTCATTTATTACAATTTGGATACTTTATGTGAATAAACTTTTTAATTTCTCTGCGTAAATGACCTTTTAACTCTCACGAGCAAGGTTATGATGACAATAGCAGCAGCAGCCGGGAGCAATTGAAGTTAAACCAAGTAACACACGATGTGTGCGTGCACGCGCCTGTGCTCGTGCCCGCACATCGAAGGACGGGAGAGAGTTACAGAGAAGGCAGCAAAAGTCTAGGGCCCTTTGTGTTGGCAACGTTTTGTAAGAAATGACACCATTTAGTTGTTAAGCCAAAAGCAAAAATTTATCCGGCTAATTTCAAAGAAGCCCTTTCAGTTTCACAGAGAGAAGAGGCATGCACGGCTGACTGCAAGGAAAGTCCACAGATTTCTGACGGTAAAAATCTTAGCATTTATATTTTTATTTTTTTGCCGAATACGAGGGATGTGAGCTCCAAAAAGAAAAGAAAAGAAATAAAAACACAGAAGCCCCACTGTCGAACTATATGAAGCCAAAAAGAATTGCTAATAAAAATCTGAAAGGGCGGGTTAAGATTAAAGCAGCGTCCGGGTGTTTTCTTTCATCTCAGTTGACTAAAGGTTGTAGGCAGGGCGAAATGAAATTGACATGTATTTGGAGAAAGCAGAAGGTGCATTTTGCAATCTATCTTTTCGTCGGCTTTCAAATGAGCCGCTGTTATTGTTGCTGTGACTCACTAGACATGATCTTACGGCAGAGAAGACATTCGCTTCCCTTCCCTTCGCTGTTTGCAAACTTGGGTTCTGCTAAAGGGCAGAAGGTTGTCAAGCACCAGGTAGAAAAGGATGCTTCGTTTTTTAATGCTTCACTCAGATCGTTTTTGTCTGCACATCAATTATAGATCTCTTAATTACACACAAGAGGGTGCCCAAGTCTGGAGCCTTTCACAGAAGGGCCCTTGGTTGTTCCCCAGTGAATTCCGCAGATGCTTCTTTAATTTAAAAATAAAATAAAAAAGAAGTCAATGATTAAAGGTCCAGGATGAGAAGGAAATCACTTTGGTGTCCTGAAGAAGGAGCCCTCTGGATAACTTAGGCACCCCAAATGCCATTTAAATGAAACTCTAATTTAAAAGTGGTCACTCTCCAGGGTTACACCACAATGGCAAGAGAAAGGTATCATTCTTTAATATCAGTTTTGAGATTCAGCATTCACACAGGAGGTAAACATAATCAAATATCATATACAGATTAACGGATGATAATGTGCAATCATATGGAGCCATTTTGAAAATAATTTTTGAAAGCTCCCTCTTCTTCAAGCAAAAATATTAATCCTTCCTCCTGATGACACTAGAGCTCCACTGGCCCAGGAAATGAATACTCTTGAAATTTTTATTATGCCCTTTTGTTTGCGTTTTTGTTAAACTAGACTAGAATCTAATTTTCCCCCAGACTGTGAACTGAATGTATATTCAGTGACTTTAATTAAACATGCTGCATCACACCTACAGTATTTTGGTCTTGGGGATACATTTAGAGACAAATTTTGATTCTCTCATTGACTTCTAAGGTCTGTAGAGCCAGTCCCCATCCACTGATGCACCCGACCTCTTTTGTGTGTCTTCTATAATCTCAGTTGATATTAGAGCTCCCAGATGGATCTATTTGATCCTTAATCTTAACATCCTTAACACCAGGGGCTTCAGAGAACATAACAGAGAGCCCTTATTTTAATACCCCCCAATTCAGTATCAGTCCACATAGATGTCATCTTTCCATTCTGCCTTTCGTCTTTCAATCTATATCATAGTTTCCTTATGATGTGCTTCATGCCTTTAATTGAAATACAGTAGGTCTTTTATCTGCTTTATAATGTATTTTTCAAATAAAATACAATTCCCTCCCTCTCCATTTCTTGTTTGTTTGATGTTACTGAGAGCAAGGAAGACCCTACTTCTGAGAATTTTGCTTTTCTTACAGAATTTTGATTAATACTAATTTTTTAAAAAGAGGACACAGGGTGTGTGTGTGTGGAGAAATGCTCCGATGGGCTAGTTGCTGGCCTCACATAGTGGCTCAGAGCAAGGTAGGATATGCCAACTCTAACCTCTGTCAGAACTGCACCAGGGCTGACCTTAGGCACATTACTGTTCTATATGGGCCCCTTCACACATTAGGTGGTGGCAGAATGGATCAATTGAACTGGGATCTGCAGCCAGTTCAGCTTTCTGACTAGCATATTTGTAAGAGTTCCCAAATGCAGCTGTGTACAGTGGTACCTCGGGTTACATACGCTTCAGGTTACAGACGCTTCAGGTTACAGACTCTGCTAACCCAGAAATAATACCTCGGGTTAAGAACTTTGCTTGAGGATGAGAACAGAAATCGTGCTCCGATGGGGCAGCGACAGCAGGAGGCCCCATTAGCTAAAGTGGTGCTTCAGGTTAAGAACAGTTTCAGGTTAAGAACGGACCTCTAGAACGAATTAAATATTTAACCCGAGGTTCCACTGTATTGTATTTTTAAGTGAGCAATTAAAACATTAGAATATACCCAAAAAGTGACCCAAATCTGCAATATATATGGGGATAATAATGACATTAACTTGCTTTACTAAGATAACATAGATGAAGTGTTTGGATCCTAAAACCTCTTATTAACATATCTAATGTTTGGGCAGCCCAACTTGAAAACCAGTTAAGTCACATGTGTTGGGTTGAGCTTGAGGCAAAGCAAATTGTCTTCATAAGCAGATAGCAGTGAGATGCATGTATTTCCACCACTGTAGTAAACACATCCAATATTGGTTTAAATTCTAATGCTCCAATGCATCTAGGTTTTCGATGGACTTATTGAACCCACAGGTGGCTTGCTCTAGTTGTAAAAGAGTACATGGACTGCCATCCTTAACTCAGGGGGGTAGCATGGGTGGTAGGAGGGCCATGGCCCCCGGTGCACAATTTTGAGGGGTGCGAACTAGGTGTCCCCATGGAGGCACAGCCTTTTGCAGGGATCCCTGTCCCACCCAAGCATATCCTGGCAGGCCCTGTCCCTGGCTTCCCATCCTTCCCTGCCTGTCACTGGGGGGTTTCAGGGAGCCCAGTCTGGCCTCACCACTGCATCCCCAACCCCCTCGTTGAATGGCCACCTGGCTCAGTGTGCTCCTTAGACAGTGAGTGGGTACAGATGGAGGGAGACAAGCAAGGGGCAACCCCAGTATGGCCTGGCCTGGTGCTCCTCTATGTGGGTGTCAGGGGGATTTGCCCACCAAGGGTCATGTTGATTGGCTGGGCTCCCCCCGCCACAGGCGGGCAAGCTCTGGTGGGGAGGTGTCACTCTGGCAGCATTGGCATTGAGGGCTGGTCTGGTGTGGTGGGCTCAGTTCACCCTCCGGACCCCGCCTGGTGTGCCTGTGCGCACCCCAGGCGCCAGCAAACCACACTACGCCAATGCCTTAACCTGCTGGTTCAAGAGTGTGTCCTATTATCATAAACAGATACAATGTTAAGTAAGCTTAAAACTTAAGTGCTGATCTTTTCATTCTTCTGAAATAAATCTGACTCCTCCATATCCTAAACCTTTCAAAGGTTGAACCAATGGTCTCCAAGCAGTGATAGCGTAGAGAATTATAGAGAAACGAGCTACACCAGCATAAAGGGTTCTTATGTAACCCGCTTTTGTCCTTCCATTTGTGCATAAGAGGCATGACTCACTTCACATTTAGGTGATCTCTGCAAATCTCCCACTGCTCCTTACCAAAGTGCAGCAAAGGTTGTTTACAAGCATGCTAATTTTACAGCCCTTTTATATAGCTTTAAGTGAGACAGGTTTGTGATGTAGGCATGTAATAAAATATAGTCTACAAGAGTTTTTTTTTTCCAAAAACAACAACTCCAACATCAACCATGTGTTTTAAAGTGTTAGGTGGAAATGGGCTCTTAGGCTGGGAAGGGGGGTACCAATCCAAAAGGTCCAACTCCATTCACTAATGGAAATGTGTTAAAGCATTGCAAAGACTTCCACTTAATTATTCTTCCCAAAATATGCATCATGTTCTCGAGGGTTTAATGAAAAATGTCCTGGTTCTGAACAAAGCTACTTGGCTTCACTTATCCTCAATGTAACATTTGTTTCCATGGCAATAGATGTTTGCCTTATATGAAGGCCTGGAAATTTGTGGAACCAGGTGGATCGGGGTGACCTGAAAAAGCTCTACATTTGCCTAGTATAGGGGAAGTGATGCACTTAGAACTGGAATGTGGTGAAAGAAAATAAGGCGAGTGCGACTTATGAGTAATAATTCCCAGAACAATTTTCCTTTACAAAGTGTTTACAAACTATATCATATATATTCACAACAGCCTTGTAAGTCTCTCGTCTGACTGGTCATTAACTTCACTTTGCAGAGGAAAACGGAGGCTGCAATTCTAAACATGCTTACTAGGGTGTTGTTGGCATCTGTCTGTCTCAAGGGACAATTGAGTGAGCCTGCGGGGGTGAAGTCAAACCTCTGGAGATGCATTAGCAGTCCGGAAGTGACTTCTCTGGGGCGCAAGCCTGGGCAGTGTGTATGGAGGCCCTGGGCTGTCAAGACAGTAAGACCCCTTCTTAGTCTCGCGGATGAGGTCCAAAGGCAAACAGAGGAATACAAATGGCACCAGCCTGGCTGCTGGAACTGCCAGAAGGAGGTGTACAAGATGCCATCCAACCATCTTAGCGACTCCACTCTGGATTTGTCTAGGGTTTACTCCTTAGTCTTTTCTTCTCCTGAATATA